CCCCCCCTCCCCCCCCCCCCCCCCCCCCATGCATAAGGACACTTCTCTGTCCACTTTTATGAATCCAGAGGGATATGAATAGAAGAACCGGCCTCTATGCCTCTGCTTTCTAGATCCTCCCTATTCAGTTTCGATTGCTAGGAAGTAACACCGATCAGCCAGCATTAATCCATTTGAAAAAATAGACATAAGAAAGTGCTTGTCTTTTGCTGGTCTGTGTTGTATTGGTTTGATTCCAAACAGTAAAGTGTGTGTGTGAAAGCAGTTGGCTGCTTTGAATGGTTCACACTGCTGTGGAAAGTCTGCTAGCAGAGATTTACAAATGTTTGTGCTTCTTACCCCTGTTGTAGTTCATTGCATTTCTTCTTGTGTGCATGGTGAATATTTTTGCCTTCTCCCTTTTATGCTATTTTTTTCTGTTGTTGCCTAATATTCAGGAGCTCTTTTGGGGTAGCAGTGTACACCCCAGGATAGAAATGAAGAGGATAGGCTAGAACACAGAACAAGCCCATGTTGCCTAGGCAGCAGCTGCTTTGTGAATACTGCTGTTAAGGACATAATTGTCACTGCCTGTACTTTATGCACATTATTTTCCTTGACCTCACTATTTATAGTTCTTTGTCCTAGCCATGTATACATGTTTCCCAAAATGGCAGCCCAAATGGACTTCTGTATGAGCAGAAGATCTACATGCCCTTTCTCAAAAAAGGGCTGGTCAGCCAGTTGATTGGCTTATCTGTAAATGTTTATAATAATAATAATAAAGTTAGAAGGGACCTTGGAGGTCATCAAGTCCAACCCCCTGCTCAGGCAGGTAATCCTATACCATTTCGGACAAATGGCTGTCCAGTCTCTTCTTAAAAACCTCCAGTGTTGGAGCATTCACCGCTTCTGGAGGCAGGTTGTTCCACTGGTTAATTGTTCTAACTGTCAGGAAGTTTCTCCTTAGTTCTAGGTTGCTTCTCTTGTTCTGAGCTGGACCCTTGAAGTCTGCAGCAGACATAGCCAAATCTAGTTGCAGCAGACATAGCCAAATCTAGCCATGCAACAAGCGTAGAGTCCCTCAGAGTAACACTTATATTGTAGGTGATGTTCCTCTTAGATCAGGGCTTTTCAACCTTTTCACTCATTGTACCACTTTTAGGATATGGCAATATCCGGGTACCACCAGTCGCCTAGCAAGGTGTCAAAAACTTGATGACCCCCCCCCAAAAAAGGAAAAAAGTGATGAAGTACAGGTAGTCCTTGACTTACAACAGTTTGCTTAGTGACTGTTCGAAGTTACAATGGCACTGAAAAAAGTGCCCCCCAAACCACAGCGAGCAAGACGCCTGCCTACCCGGGTACTGTCCGAGGTTTTCATTGTTGGGAGCATTTCTGTTGAGGATTGGCAGCAGAGGTGGGGTGGGGGTGTTTGGTTTTTATTCCCCCCGTCTGCTGGGTGGTTGCAGCAGGTTTTGGTCACTTCCCATGATCCTGGGACACTGTGACTGTCATAAATATGAATTAGTTGCCAAGCATCTGAATGTAAATCACAAGACCCTGGAGATGCTGCAACATTCTAGCTGATCGGCACTTCTTCTGGGCTCAGCAGAAGCACCAGGATTAGCGCCGAGCTCCAGCTGGAGCCTAGCGTTGATCCTGGTGCTTCCACTGAGCCCTGACAGTCCCGAAGAAGCACTGATCCTGGCGCTTCCGCTGAGCCCTGACAGCCCTGCAGCTCAAGCCATCTCTCGCTCAGGCTTGTGCGGTGCTGCCACCGGTTCAGCTCATTCCCCTTCCCCACTACCACTTTTCTGGGATGGTCGCGTACCACCTGCCAGGTGCCAATGTACCACAGGTGGTACCCGTACCACTGGTTGGAAAGCCCTGTCTTAGATAATGTGCTCCATACAGTGAGCTGGAAGGCAGCAAGTGAAGGCTTAGCTCTGATTCACTTCCCATCTCTATCTACTGTCAGGAGTAGCTGCTTCATTGTACCCAGTAGCAGGGAAAAATGCATCTCAGAATAACACTTACTGCACCGGAAAAAGTGGGCTGTGGGCCATGAAAGTTTAGTATAATATTTAAGACAGAGCTGGGCAGGCTGCAGGTCCATACGCCACGTGTAGCCACTTTTAGCTTTTGTTACCAGCCTCTTTTATGAGCCTGCGCTTCCTGGAATCACATTACGGTACACTCTACGCAAATGTGATGGCAAAGCACCAAACCATAACCATCAGATTTAACAATAAATTTTAGCAAAAACAAAAGAAGATGAAATACTGTTGTTGTAAGCCTTTGTAACGCCTAGAAAACTAAAAGGTGAAACCAGAAAATGTGGAGCAGGACCAAAAATGCTACTTCATTTGATGACATCACTATATCATAGTTCTCTTACTTATAGAGCCTGCACCTGGCATGAAAAGCTGCAATTGGTCCTGTGCATCACGTGTCAATGTGTCACTGGGACAGCCATCAAGAGCTTTCTGGGACAGGGAAGACGCTAATCCCCTCACTGTGCTGCCTAGACATTCTTGAAATAGTATCATAAGCTCATCGTCCACTAATACCCTATCCCAAGATAGATACAGCATCTTATTGCCTGTTGCTGTTTATGAGATACGTAGCCATATAAACTGGTGAAGTAAATAAATAAATAAATAAATAAATAAATAAATAAATAAATAAATAAATAAATAAATAAATAAATAAATAAATAAATAAATAAATAAATAAATAAATAAATAAATAATTTCCTCAGATCCTTCCCTTTAGGGATTGACCATTATTGTTGCTTCCTTATAAGTATCTCTTTCTTATGAATATTTTTTTCTCATTTTTCTTGTAATTTTAAATCAACAAACATGTCCTAGGACAAAATGTTTCAGTGTGAAAACCACAGAGAATTTTCCCAACAGAGAAGACTATTACCGTAGGTGCTCAGATGTGCGTAATAACCTTTCTATCCTTTGTGATACATTTTCAACTCCTATTCATTTTCTTATGGCCCAGTGGTGACTTGGATTTTGCTTTACAAGTAAATTTTTTAGTAATCCATGCCCTTTTCAATAATTCTTCAGTATCTGGATCTTATTAAAACCAATGCTTGACAAAAGGCCCCATTCTGATGTTTGAATATGGACCATGCAGTATAAGATAAATATGAAACGGTGAGGGAGTGCAACATTTTGCTTTGATTTCTGAATTTTATTATACTTATTCACACATCAAGAAATTCACCTCCTAATTAAGTGAACTGTAGCATTTAGATCAGTACTACTATGCAGCCCCTTTCCTTGATGTTGGTTTTGACTAGGGAGCAAAATGGACAAATATTTTGGAGATCATTAGTAATTAGGTTATTAGAATAACACTCTGCTTTGGGTAACTATTTTAAGCCTATTTTGCCTTTTCCGACTAAATGCTCTCTAAGATGTCATTAGGACTGCTGTTAGGAATTCTACAGTCATAATTCCCACATCATGTATATAGGAAGATCCCAGTTTGGAAGGCTATTATGTTGTTATGGAAAACAAGACTGTTCAGTGTCAACCAACAACCCTGGGGGTGGGGCTCTTGTTTGGTTCAAGAGGTACAATGATGTGGACTCTCTTACATACCAAGTAAGGAATATGTTGGACGATAACCTGTCTAAAACTCCAAGAGTTTAATTCCTACATGGTTTTTAGCAATAATACTTTGATATGCTTTTCAGCTTTCCAGTCTGAGCTGCAGCCCTGGTATTCCCTGAAAGTCTTCCATCCTAGTGCTAATCAGGTCCAACCTTGCTTAGCTTCCAAGCCCAGAAGAGGTCAACCACAATAGCAAATATGGGGAATCGGCCAGAATGAATCAGATGACAGGCAGAGTGTTGTGATGCAAGCCCTACATCTTTTGATGTACAGGTGACACACAACAAAGGGATGGGACTTACATCACAGCAATATGTTTTCTGTCTTGCCTGTTTCA